TTTTTTTTTTTTCTTCTTTTTTCTTTTCTACGCTCGATAAAGGTTGGAATATCAGAATAACAGACGCATTAGAAAGGAACAGGTAAATTAACACAGGCGAGCCGAGTTCTCTGCGGCGAGAAATATATACGGAATATACGGAATAGAAATGGAAAGAGCACGCGTTGTGTTTCAATTTCGCCCGCGCGATCGCAGCGATCCGGAATTATGCGGGACGATTGTATCGATATATGTGCGCGGAGGAGCGCGCAGCTGCGAGAAGCCGAAGGCGATCAAATTAACGAGATCTCCCTCCCGCGCGTGTTTCATTCCTAGGTGAAATTGCAAACCGGGGCAAGAAGGACGATTAAGCCGGCGTTATTATTATCGCGACAGTCGATCTAACGAAATCGGAACGAACAGGGAGAAATTGATTGGCCAATGATTCATCTCGACGTCGGAGGTACCTCGGTTCCTTTAATTCGGTTCCTTAAAATTGTATAGGTTACGAAGGGATTTGTATTATCTTAACTAGTTAATCCTAATATCAATGAAATTGTTGTACGATTTTTCTCTTTCTTCCCTTTTGCAAAATTCTAATAGAAATTTAAATATCTCACTGCCTGAATTTTAATAGGAGTCGCTAGTAGCTTAATTGGAGTATCGTTGCTGTCTCAATCAGTGGTTGGACACGAGCCTAAAGTTATTCGAGTTTTTTCCTCAATTTCGCAAAATTGTGGAGCATAAAGTGAAGGCGTAATTGGATTTGGAATATCGTTGTCAAGCAAGTAGTAATAGTCGGTCAACGGCCAGACACGATTCTCATCGATCTCGAGTTCGGATGCATCTGTCCGATTTCTTTAAATTTCACAAATAAAAGTGGCTTACTCTCGTAATCCGAATATGAAAACGTCGAGTTTAATAGCGTAAATCGATTGAAAATGAATACTATACCGTTGACGATCATTTTTAATGCATTTGTGAAAACGTATGCACGCGATGCGTATATACTTTTTAAAAATTTTAATTCTCTGCCTCCCAGGCTCCATTCGTTTTCTTTCACTTTCGAAATTACACTCTCGAAATTATTATGAATTTGCTTGGAACTCTGGGCAACCGCAATCTGGCAACAACTGGCACGTTTCACACCGAGAAATTAATTATTTGTCTGGTGCGATGTATTCGTGGGACGGCCGTGGCGCTGACAGTGTCGATTGTAGGACGAAGAGCAGAGTCGAAGATTCTGACATCTTTGACGCAGGGCTATCTCGAAATCACCCACTATTGCGACACTCATGATCGGTCTCCTTAGTATCGAGTTCCGAGGTTGTTTGTGTCGCAAGTTACAACCTCGGGTCACCGATATCGAGGTTCATTAGACAGGGGTCATCTCCGTCGTGTTTCACCAGCTGCTTGCGAACCTCGATATCGAATTTCGGGACTATCAAAGTGACTACCAGCGAGAACTGACGTGATATAATTGGACGTAACTTCCCCCTCTGTGGACAGACAGAGTCGTCCATTTTTCGCTGAATTTTGAAACACTTGGCATCAGCAGTATTCAATGCCATTCACGCGGCTGTTTTAAACATTTCTCTCATTGCATGTGCTTTCTAATTTGATAAATTCCGCCGAACTTTGCCCATGCATATAAAGCGGCCGAGTCGAGGGGAAACGCAGCGACAAATATTTGAATTTAAATTTAAACACGAGTTCGAATTTGAATTGGAATTTAAATTTGAATTTAAACAGCCGAGTTTGAATTTGAATACCCGTCTAGCCACAATTTAATAGAATTCTATGGATCATTTCCCTACTCACGTTTCTTGTTTCTTCCTTTCCTTTTCGAATAAATTTCTCGCGTCTGCTTGCCTGGACTGAAAGCGAGCTAACGTAAAGATGATCAATCCGCAAGATCAAGTGCACGTTATACAATTGCACGAGGGCGAGCGCTTCGAAGCGCGAAGCGTGGATGTTGACAAGTACACGATAGCAGAATCCGGAACTGGTAACCTCAAGAGTCCCAATAACAAACACAGTTCAACCGCAAGATCATGGAAGTTTATATCGAATATCCTGTGGCCATGCAGCACACCACCACCAACACCAGAAACATATGGTATCCTTAGTACCAAGGGTATCAAAGTAATGGAACACTGTTAACGATCTTAAACTTAGAGCGGAGGCAGATCAATGCGAACAGCGATAAAATGGACGAATGAAAAGTGTTTGAAAAGACGGAAAAGAAAAGAGAAAAGTCAGAGTACTTGCAGAGAGATTGTTTCGTACATTGATGTATAATAATTGTTCATTTGATTTTATACGAATATATATTCACCGCGTCCGATATTTCAATTACATATACTTTTCAGGATGATAATTGTTGAAATGGATGTTAAACGTCCTTCGTATCTTATTAGTTGCCTCGAACAAGTAGTATCGGTCAGTCGATGATCAGACACGATCGATTCTGACATTGAACTCGCATGCTTGATACGGATCTTTCGAACATTTTGCTTCGTTGGCGTTTGGCATTGGTCAATGGACAAGTAGTACTGGTCAGTCGATGGTCAGCCACAGGCGTAATGTCGAATTTCCCACTGGATTTCCAATCAATCCAAGTAACATTCCGAAATAGTAGTAATACTTTGCAAGATATCTGTCATCGAGAATCGATTGGAATAACATTCGCACTGTACGAATCGATCGAAATAACATTTTGTAAAACAATATTTGCATCGTGTACATCTAAGTGAAACGCATGTTCGACGGATAAAATAAACCGTCAGATGTTGCCTCTGATCAGTTATTATTATTCCCCGCGTACTTTGCACGAAATATTTCGCTTTTAATTAATTGAAGCGCGAGAAGCTTCGATGGAAAGCATCGCCGAGAGAAGATCACCATCGCGGTGAGCCGCGAGATCGATTCGATGCACAGCACCGGGTGTAATCTCGATTCTGCTTTCCAAGAGGGGGGAGAGGAGGGAGAAAACAAAACTGGGTTTGTCGTAGGTCGAGGGTTGTGAAAAGAAACGACGCCACGAGCAAACAGCTTGGCGGGCACAAGCGTCGTTAGCGTGATAGACGCAGAAAATCGAATTACTATGGAAACAATCGCGAAGTTGGAGAACGAGTGCACAGCAGTGGAAAAGTTTTTCACTTTCCAAGATAGGTGGGGGGGGGAGCAGAAGGCAGAGGAGAGAAAACTCGTTCGAATGTCGACGAATAGAATGGCCTTATCAGCAGCGAGCACACGCGACCGTACGCGCAGTTTCCAAGACGATACACATAAACGCGCGTCGCAAGGTTACACGCCGCGTACCGACAGAGAGAGAGAGAGAGAGAAAGAGAGAGAGAGAAACTTTCGAATGAGCGATTCGTCCGTGTAAAATACGAATAACGAAGATTAGACAGTGTTTTAGAGGCTCGGGATTGATTATTTAGAATATAGTAGAGGTGCTTATACGTAATGTCTTTTCATACTGTACAAAATTCTTTTAAATTATTGGCAATGTTTATTAAATTTAAAGAAAAAAACGACATTATTTGTGGGTATTAGGTGTCCCTAATATATTACATAAATGACATATTAGAATATTTGGAAAATATTTCCTGTACAAATAGAATGTTATATTGTAATATAATATCATATTGCGTGTTGTATTATACTTGTAATACACGCTTTATAAAAATTGTACATGTAATATATATTGTATAATCTACACACCATCGTGTTATATCGCAATATAGTATGTGTAACACAATATTGTGCAGGTTACGCAATGTTAGATCATACAATTGTACAATATATGTATACATAATTTTTATTGTATTTCTTACATAAAATACTTTTATATTATAAATGAGACGTTGGAAACTGTTCAAACTGTTTCATACATAAATAGAATGTTTGTGAAGAAAAGTACAAGTGCATACAGCACGGAGGAGATTGGTAAAACTACCGAAGGAGAGAACAAAGCTTGCTTTTTAAAATATTTCGACGCCGTAAATCCAATATCCACGTAAAGATCAGCTCGCTTCACTTGTTTAATCTCTGTAACACCTGGCGAAAATTTTCATTATCACGGGATCGATTGATCAGTTCAACCAACAGGACGGTCGTGTTCATTCCAATAATTAAAGGCGTCGTTCGTTTATTGCAAAGAGAGAAAGCAGACGAATACAGAGAGAGAGAGAGAGAGGCGGAAGTAGTAAATTTGCGGCCAAGTTTAATTATATCGTTGTGTCTCTGTAATAAAGCTTAGACGGCGAAAACGTATAATCTGCTTCTAAATTGTTTCAGGTGCTAAGCCGTTTCCTGGACTGGAAAACCTGCCGAGGTCGTTCTGGCATGAGCTCAGCTCGCCTTTTACCGAGGTAAGTCGGCTGCGTAATTGCAACGAGCAGTTAAAATGTCCTTTCAAAAACGGCTACTTTTTGTCGCCACACCTCCTCGTCGCCGCTGGCCGACAAAGCGCGCGATCCCCTTTGTGAACGAAGTCGAACGGCGAACAGAAGGTTCTCCTCAAATATTTACGTTGCTTTTTAACAAAGCGGTCAACCTGTTTTCTCCCGTGTATTTCATAACTTTACCTTCGAACCCCCCTCCTTGTTCTCAAGGATGTCTCTCTTCTCCGTAATTTATTAGCTCTTTCCTTTGTGAAATTGAACTTTCTTTCTTTTTTTCTTTTCATTTCATTGGACTTTTTATACGGTTTTCATATCGAGGATTTCGAGGAAGTTCAAGTATCGCTTGTATATCGGTAAATTTGAACATCTGTTATTTGTTACAGGGGAAGGTTATAATAGGATAACAATTATTGCTTGCTCATTCGTTTTTAATTATTATTATTTTAATAAATCTAACGTTTCTGTGTACTTTGTGCAATTCCTGAACTCTGTGAGACACGAAATTTGTCGAAGTATCAATGATTGACAATTAATCAAAAGTGTGCCAATCACGCTTACCCTTTAAATTATCCTCGTTGCGTGAGTTTGTTCGATAGAACTGTTACCAAATAATATTTGTTAATCAGTTGAAAGCCAAACACCATTGGATATATTCCACGACAAAATTAATATATTTTTGTCGATTGTTGCCTCCCGTTAACAAGTTAAGACGATTAAAAAGAATCGCCGAGCGGAAATG